TATCAGAGAGGAACCAACCCACATGAAATTGAAACTGAGAAAAAGAGGTTTGAAGTTTTATTCCTCCATGACTCAATGTAAAAAATAAACTTTCACGCCTCTTTTCACAAACTAATTTTTGTTTTCGACTTTGAGTTCTTGGCAAGGAGAAAATATACAACTAGAGGAACTCAAAAAGATTCTTAAATCTCAATTTCTCGAAAATTTTGGTAGGCTTCTTTCTGATGAACCCGGTTCATATATTCTTCGTGAGTTGACAGTGAAATGTAGCTATGACAAACTTACCGGAATGGAACTTAAAACTCGAGACGTGACTATATCCCCCGGGAGAAGAATTCCGTAACGATTAACCTAATATTTTTAATGCTTTGANGATCTGCGATTTGCGCCAAAATTCTTAGTTTTTTATGCTCTTTCGAATGAGGTATCACAAGATAGGGGTTGCTATTTGAAAAACAAAAGTTGGGGGGCCCCTGTCCCCCCCTGAGGGGGGGACCAAAATTTTGACCCCCTCAAAAGATGGTCCCCTTTGAGATAGGAACATTCCCAAAGTTTCATTTCCTTAGCTCAATTCGTTCAAAAGTTAGAGGGGGGGTCGGGGACTCTTCGCTCACCCTGTATGACTGAGGCAGTGCGATATATACGGCAAAAGCCAAAAATAAAATCAGGCATTCTGTTAAATGATCGAATATGTAAATCATGCAATCAGCCTCAGTAGTGTATTAATTAGAGGCAATTCAATCAAAACCTCAGATCATGCATGGAGCAAATTTTTTGAGAGAGCCATACCCGCCAAGTTTTGACAAAAATTTGCTTCTTGAGTTTTCGGGGAAAATGTGGCAATTATTAATTATTCCAAAGTCTGCCCATTCATTTGTTGATTTGGATATTGGCCTTCGACGTATCTGCCAGGAAGCGCTCTCAGTTGTTTGATAATATGCCCATGTACTAAAACTGTCGGTGGCGTTTGTGCTTCGCGCTGCGGCTACCGTATGAATTGCCTTCAATTAAGAGGCTATGCAAGAACGCTCACACCGACGTTAATATAGTTGCGCACCCTCAGTTTTACGTCGAGCTCCGCATCGACCAATAACACATTCATTAATATCACGAATTTACCGTCCGCAGCCAAAAACTTCATTTGATATTTTTCATTATTCTTTCTTACGTAATATTCTATTACAAGAAAACCTGATCGCACTTGTACTTCGCTTTGATAGTTTGAATTCTCAGTGTGGACAAAATCATTAAACTATAATTAATAGGAATATGCTCATAGGTTTTCGACAATAACAAATTTTATCAGAAGGATATTAATTTTCTGTTATTAAAATAACCTTGCTCACAAGGGACTGTATTTTTTCTACCATGCTTTTTCACATACTTGAACAATTTTCAGTTTTAAATTAAATCGCACCACAATCTAAGGCTAGGCTGAGCTTTCTTTTTCAGTTGAATTACGTGATTTTGGAGTTGAGCCATTGTTTCTTGCTGCAAAACATGATCGAAAAAAAGACGGACACCCTCTTGATTTTTCCAAAACAGATTCATTACAATCAGAAACAACATTCTGTTGAGATACAATCACGCATGTATGCTCTGGATTTACCGATTTGGATGCTGGTTTCCGGATCCTATATTATTTTACCTTCAGGAAAAACTGAGAGATACTAAAAACCACATAACTGGTGAAGTACTAAAATGAGAGGATACGATGTTTTTTCTTGACTTATTATGAGGATCACTCTTGATTTCAGTTCATTTCCTTTGAATTACGTCTTTTTGGAGTTGAGCTATCATCGGTATTCGTCCAGAAGAGTAATCGAAGGAATGATGGGCATAATATTTCACCTTCAAAGAGATGCGACTATAAGAAACATTAGACGTTGAAATCAAATTACGCCTTTATGCTCTGGATCGCACTGCTGTTCTGAGGAAAAACGTCGTATGATCTTACTGATGCTGTCGAATCTCCCCTAATAAAATATGATTTTTTTGGACAGTTTAAGAATGTTTTCCTTTGAACTTTTCAGGTAATTTTACTCGAAGTTTAATCCGGTGTATTTGAAAATGCCGAGAATAAATATTCGCGCCTTATCCTGTTAAGAAATACTTTACCCGGGGCGATTGGCCAACTTTTCAATGTTCATACGATGTTCTTTTTTACTGTGACAGAGCAAAGGCCGCTTATCCGATAAAGAGCAGCTGTACCGTAAGTTCTGAGCCCCATTTCAGGCTGTTCTGAAGAGGAGGGGGAAAAAGATGCGAGGGACGGCCTGAAATTTAGCGTTTGACATCATGACTCCTGTTTTCGCTCCGGTTCATTTCAACTTCCCTTGTTGCCATTTTTCTTTAAGTAGGAATTTGTTTTTGACGCACCTGCTCCGATTTCCAAATCTACCTCGTCACCTTCCGGCCAAAGTATCACAAGCGTCATGCGACGTTTAAAAATTTCCGCCGCCATTTCATTTTTTTACAGAGCAATCGTTCAACGAAGCTGTCCGAAAATTTCAATAAATTTGCTTTGTGCTGCCGATAAAATTCAGTGAAATTTTCAAACAGATTCAACCAACAATTTCTCTGTAAAAAAATGAAATGGCGGCGGAATTTTGAAACGTTGCATGGCGCTTGTGATACTTTGGCCGGAAAATGACGACTTACGGTAGACATAGGGTAGTTCGGAGTTCCGTGTGAGGCTCTTTGAAGTCAACTCTCCTACTTTAAAACCAATGAGGTCTGGAATATTTGAAAAATTATTTTTTTAAAAATAGCTAGCGTTTTGTGAATTTTTTCAAAATGTTTTTAGAACGCATACGTGTTTCTTCCAGGGGATGAATTGGGTCTTGTCAGATTGTTGCTACGATATATTTAGGGTTTTCATAACTGACACATGTTTTGGATATTTGGAAAATGTTTAGAAAATATACTAAGGTGAACGTTATCATGGAAAAATTTCAATATTTTGAAAATGTGTCTCGTTTCAATTTTAAGAATTTCATCTTAACATTATTTCTAAAAATTTTCTCGACAATATTTTATATTAAAATGGTTAAAATTAAGAGATTAATTTCATTATATCAAATTCTGAATGACAAGACTTAAGATTTGAAAATTTTTTTAATGTTTTAGAATTACCTACGTACATTAAAATAAAAAAAAAACTTCATCGAAAATGGAGAATAATCTCCACGTTAAAACAAATATTTAAAAAAAAGAAACACGCGATCGAGAAAATGTTTTTTTTTAATCGAAATAATACTTTTGAAGTAAAAGAGATTTTTCGACTATTTTTCAGTGAACTCGATCTTAGGTCAACTAGAGTCCCTTTATACTGAGAGTCACGCCAACATCCCCTCATGGAGTCACAAACGGGAATAAAGATTACATAAATTGAACGTTTTTCGTAATCTTTGATCGGCCCATTCTCAAATTCCTTTCTCCGTTCCTTCTCTCATTCCGTTTGTTCCTTGCCGAACCCGTTTTTCCCTGGTCCATTCCAGATTATAATCTTTGCAATTGGTGAAAATGTAATCTTTATTCCCGTTTGTGACACTGTGAAGGCCTAAAATACGGGAACCAATCAGAAATGGGTTCACATTGTCTTGACTCTCAGTATAAAGGGACTCTAGACTACCCCATGTCAAATTATATAAAATCACGAAAAACGGCAACGCAGGTCGTTCTTTATCGGCAAGGTTTCGGCGGGCCGTCTCGCGGGGCCAATAAATGCTTATCAAACCGGGGGCCTCTTTCGTCTCCAACGTCAAGGGCCTTTAATTCGGGAACTTTTGCCCCCCCCCCTTCCCCTTTGGGTCAGCTGTGACCTGCCGCCGAACTCGCATGAATTATTTATTTATTTTCGGGAAAAAAAGAAAAAGGAAGCTAGGTCAATAGGAAAGATACGGGGTTACGCTGCGTTCGGAAATGCGGGCTTATTAAGCGTGTTGCCGGTGAATTATGTGACGTTGGGTGACTTATGAGCTATGCCTCCGGTGAAATATGTGACTTTCGGGGTATCTGAGTGGTGCAGGGGCTACGGATTGAACCGGTGGACAATCGTTTGGAGTGCTCGCCAAGAACGGATCAATTTTGAAGTTTTGAATGTTGAATGGATTACATTTTGCAAATAAGAACCAGGATGATGCCGTGATAGTGATGAGAGCTCACAGCCGTGAATTTCAAAATTTCGAAATCGAGTTTCTTTCAAAATTCGTCTTATCTTTTTTAGATGTAATCACTGAAACAGCACAGTTCGTCTTATTTGTAAAAGAACGCGGCATATGAGAAAATAGGTGCGGAAAAATTGACGCTGTTTCAGACTAAACAGCCTTAAGAAGCATTATTCAGCTAGAGAGCCAATGAGAGCAGTACTTTCAAGTAAAATGGCACCCTTTACTGCCAATTTTTAACCTGAAAATTTGTTTGCTGTGTATGTCAAAACGCAACCACAAAACCATGCAGAAGATAGCATTTGGCTGCCTTGCCTATCACTAGCCTAGCATTAAAATGAAAAATATCCTTCTCGTACAGTTGAAATAGAATGCGTGGACTTTAAATAATCCAAACGATTTTAGAGAGGCTTTCAAATGATTGGTGGCAATTTGACAAAGAACGGAGGCTTTTCTCAATGGATGTTCTGCTTGGACGCTACTGAGTCCATTTCATCAAAATAAAATCCCATTCTTGCACTAACGGCTCTTTTCACTGTCACGGCAGAATACCGGGCTCACTCACAAAATCATGCATCTGTATGGGGAAACTCCTAGCACATATGTTGTTTCTGAAATGAGTCAGAAATCTAAAGTGAGTCTTCCTAAAAGAATCTAATTGTGAGGAAAGACCTCTTATGAAAATACTCAAGACGAAACTTCTGCACTTGGGAACTTTTCCACTTAGTGACGAACGACCTCTTCAAGAAGGTATAGATTCATATCGTCAAGATGAGCCGAACATTTCTGATAAGTCGTAACAATACCAAAATTAATGATACGTGTGCTTACCTCCTTTTCATAACGGCGATAAGGTAAGGACATTGTCTTTTTTTAATGGCACGGATAAATCTGGAACAAACGTTAGAATGAGGTTATTAGACATGATAATAGTGAATGAGAACACAACATATCGGTGGAAAAATCACATTAGCGATTAACAAATCGACTCAACCTCTATTAACGTGGTGGTTAATGGGCTCACCACGTGTTCATTTTCCTTTTTCGCGTGTTTCCATTATAGTTTCGAAGTGATATTGTTCCTACAAACACTAATAGTAAGAATTCATAAATTAAACAACTTATGGTAAAGCATATTTCCCCCCCACATCCGAATCTATTTCTCGGTAGGCCAGCAGGATGATTGTTGAAATTGACAAAGTTATGGACGAAGAAGATGAAGGAAAAAAGTAGCAATCTTATGAATGGGAGCGATAGTCGCAGTGAACAAAGGAGGTTAGTGATAGACTAAGCAGGGGCAACCGACAAGATACTCCATATACCCAGTCCATTAGTTAAATACAAGCAAAATACACTAAATTTGTGTGCTTTTAGTGTGCTTTTCTTGCAGTTTATTGTTGAATGGACCTCTAGACAAGGTACGAATTTAAGCAATCTGATACAAGTTTCTTAACCAGAATTTCACGTAAAACAACATGGGCGGATCACGCAAAGTACCAACGAACCGAAGTCAGCATGGACTCTTTGGAGCGCCTGCAACATCGTATGAATACTTCAAGCATTACTTCATTAAACACGAATATGCGCCAATGGACCACTAGACAAGACACGAATTCAAGCATTCTGATACATGTTTCTTAACCAGAATTTCACGTAAAACACGATTCGCGCAACGAAAATTACTGAAACCAACTCCTAACGAAGATATTAACGTTTTTATTTCACAATTGTTACGAGGAATTTCAACTGCCCGCTCACAAGAAACTGAAAGCTCTTCGTGAGTCAAATCGCGCACCACAGCGGTTTCAGCAAGCTTCTTAATTGAGCAATCGTCATTTCCCATCGTGTCGTTCAAACTATAGCAATTTGCTATAGCTGAGCCAAAGCATCAAGACTGAGGTTGCCAGATTTTTATATCGCAGAGACGTGTTTAGCGCGCCATGTGAATCAAGCAGAGCATTGAGTTTTAATGAACGGCTGGTTTGAATTCACGCATCAGGAATCATTAAATATCTTCGTAAGGAGTTGATTTCGGTAATTTTTGTTGTGCGAATCGCGTTCTACGTGAAATTTTGATTAAGACACATGTATCAAAATGCTGAAATTCGTACCTTGTCTTGTGGTCCATTGGGCTATTGCGTTATGTTCCTCTCTCTCTCTCTCTCTCTCTCTCTCATCAGTTACTCCATACTTTTCCCCCATATTTTTACAAAAGCCACCCATTTCAACCGATATGATCGCTCAATTTTCTCTTTGTCTATAGCTTTGTCTAACAATTTCAATAATCAGCCTGCAGCGAGCTGATTGTTGAAATTAATTGACAAACTATAGACAAAGAAGACGAAAGGGATATGGAGGGACCTTCTTGGTCGAAGCGGGTAGTTGGAATAGACGTAGGAGGTAGTAGACTAACTAACGGAAACCCACCGATAGACCCTATAATTAGTCAATCATTTACCCCCTTAGTCTATAAGCAGTGTTCGAAACTCACCTTTGAGTTTTAGGAGTCATGTGGCGCATGAAGCTTGATTTTTAGGAGTCAAATTAACATTTTGAATATATTACGGCGTATTTAGTGAAAAGTTTGACGCAAGATGTTTTAGTTACGAAACTAGTGGCTGAAATTCAAAGGAGATTTCGAAAAATCACCAAACAAGAAAATTAGGATTATTTTTGAGAAGGGGGGGGGGAGGAGACGGGGGCAATTTTTAGGGGCCACGTTGGCGCAGAGCCTTCATTTAATAGGCGCCATGACTGATTTCTAATCCGAATTTTGAGTTTCGAACATTGTCTATAAGAACCACCCATGTCAACCAATAGAATCACACCATAATTCCTAGATCTTTTCTGTCTATAGGTTTGTCTATCAATTTCAATAATCAGCCCGTAGATGTGATTAGGCACTTAACAGAACGCCTGATTTGACTATTCTGCAACTTGTACATTTGCACAAGTACTCGAGGGGCGGAAACGAAGGGATTTCCGGTAGTACGACGAGGGATCTGGAAGCCCAGTTTCTTGAGGTATTTGACACGGGGACGGAGGGGGGAGGGGGATCAGCTGCGACGGTAAAGGGCTCTCGGGGGACTGTGTCGGACTTTCAATTAAATTGAGTGGGTGTCGGAGGCAGCCCCGCCGTTAGATTGAGATCCCGGTTGCTCGATGGCTCCGAAAATTTCGGATTTCCCGTAGAAAGTCGGGGCTATTTCGGCTGGCTTTGTCAACAATGGGAATCGACGGAACCAGGAATTTCTTGATAGAGAGTCGGTGGACGCTCTCAAAATTTTTGGGGGTCGTACTTGACCTCCAAAGAAGCGACTCATCTCAAACTCGTGATGTCGTAGCAGATGCATATACTCAAAACGCACGACGGATTGAGGAAAATAGTAATCGAATTAGCTATGTTGCATCGGACACGCTCGTATTTAGACCGCGTTTAGCAGAAAGGAACCAAGCCACATTAGCTATAGCCGAATTTAAGTTGGCAATTTAAATTTTTACAAGAGAACGTTTGAACATCCTTTGAAAATTTAAGGAAGTATAGCTTCGCATTAAAGTAAGAACATTCACTGAAATTTGCACAGAAAGACGCACAATCGTTTTCTTGTAAAAAATTAACTTGGCTCCTTCCTACTTAACGCGATCCATTTCATTATTCAATACATATAGATTAGCAAAATATATTGAGAACTGTCAAAAGTCCAGTAGGTATGTTGCAAATCACAGTTAAAGAAGAGGAGGCAATGCCTGCATGCCTCCTTTCGGGTTTGGCCATGAGTAGTGCTTGGTTATAGGGCATGTATGTAATGCTGCGCAAACAAAACTCCTTCAAAAGTGAAATATGCAACCCCGCGACAACCGTGTTCGAATAGTTGCTCAGACTTGGGTTACACGCACCGAAGAATGTCCCCCATCATGACGGCGGCGCGGCGTGGCAGGTGAAGGCGACCAGCGCATTGGCGCCTACAAACCTAACAGGATACTTCACGCATTGCGCAATGCGTAAAGTGTCCTGTTAGGTTTGTAGGCGCCAATACGCGTGTCGCGCTGGCAGTACGCAGGCGGGCTGATTTACCGTGGAAGATTTTTTTTCTTTTTCTTTTTCTATTTTTTTTTCCAAGAGTATTTACATGCACCAATTTCATTCCATCCATTTGGATCCAAGACATTTTTTTTCCAGTGTAGGTTACGACCCAAAAACTTGCAAAATGTGGGGTTTGAGACTTTCGAGAGAAGTCCCATCACTCAAAATTCCTCGTGTGTTTGCGATTCCGGACGCAAATAAAGATAGAGTAAAAGCACAGAAAGTTCGGCGCGTAATACAACTATTATTCTGCCGTGCTAAGGAAGAGCGCCATATGAGCCTTCAGATGTTGCCATATTTCCGTCAATAAAAATCGAGTATATTGTCAATTGTTTTCGAATTTTTCAGAAACTTTTGTTCACACTATAATTTAAATCGTCTAAAAATTTCGAGGAAAAATCGTCACCTCCCGGCCAAAGTATCACAAGCGCCATGTGATGTTTCAAAATTTCCACCGCCATTTTATTTTTTTACAGAGCAGAGAAATCGTTCAATGAAGCCGTCCGAAAATTTCACTGAATTCTCTTTACGCTACCGATGAAATTCGGTGAAATTTTCAAACAGATCCAACCAATTACTTTCTCTGTAAAAAAATAAAATAGCGCCGAAAATTTTCAAACGTCGTGTGGCGCTTGCAATACATTCGCCGGAAGGTGACGAAATACGGACGACTTATTTCCGGAAAAATACATGTTTTATCCGAGGAAATTCGACAACTCTCGAATGCTCATACGGCGTTCCTCCTTAGCACGGCAAAATTGAATGCGATTCTTCCATACTGCCATACTAAGGGAGAACGCCGTTTGAACATTCGAGAGTTGCCAAATTTCCCCGGATAAAACATGTATTTTTGACATTATTCATGCATATTTTCCCTTCAAATTTTCAGATATTTTACATTAAATTGCGTACGAAATAGTCTGAAAATTGGAAGAAAAATATTGACAATTTTCCCTGCAAATTCAGTGTTTATCGAAGGAAATTTTGCAACGCCTGGAGGCTCATACGGCGTTATTTCTTGGCACGGCAGCGGTAGATTTTCGTTCAAGAGTTGAGCGAATTCGGAGGAACCGCAGTGCCGAGAGGAGCTGTCACTTTTCGAAGCTGAGCTTGAATTCTCGGCTCGGCGCGAGGTGCCCCCCGGCTGCTACCTTTTTGTTGAAGCCCCCCCCCCCTCCCTCCACCTAGCCCCAATTAAAATCAAGTTCGCTTAGGGGCTTCTTCCCCTCCATCCCCTATTCCTAGGATGGTTTCCTCCGCAGCTCACCGACACGCAAGTTTATTGGTGGTATCGCCCCGACCATTAACTCCCGGAACTATCAAAGTGGGAGCTATTCTATCGTGACCGAAATTGAACCAGTGCTAGATGTCTAGGTATCCGTGGTCGTTCCTTGGGAATCTCCTAGCTCGGATCCGGAAAATCGTCGTGGATTCTAAAATTGGTTGGATTAAAATTTGAGCATTTTCGTAGTTGAAACCTTCAACATCAATTGGACCGCATTAAGCAGGAAGGAAACAAGCCACATTAGCGTGAGGCATGATGTATTATGGCTCACCTTTGCCTCAGCTTAATATTTCAACGCAAGCTGCCCGAGCTGGACACTCTTTCCGCCATCAGTCTTGTAGTGGGATTCTTCAGAGCTCAAAAAAAAAACAAGCAGTGAACTCCAACACAATGTGTTGATAAGGCGCGTCATTAACTCGCACATATCAACCCCTTTAGTTTTCATTTACAGAGATTTCAAAATAGGCAAACAGCATAAAAAGAGAATTCACGATCCAACACTGCGAGGTCAAAGACGCACCT